GCATAATTTTTAAGCACAAAATTTTAAAAATGTTGCAATTTAAGCAAACCAGGATTCAGGCTGATCTGTGCAGCAAAGCACTAGACTGCCACTGTGCAATTCAAATCTAAGCACCGGTTGGCAGGATAGCTTTTTTGCAAATTAATTTTCGCAAAAAGCTGGCAGGATCGCCATGTATCGAATGAAACAATTCATTTATATTTTAATTGTATTGAATTTATTTTACTGAGCAACTCAATGTCGCTTTGTAGGTTCTTTTACAATTGAATTCTTAGCCTAACATATTGGGGTATTTATGGGAAATAATTGCTGCATAAGCATAAATAATATTATAAATAAATTGAAGCTTAAAGTTAGTTTGTTTGACGGTTTGGCACGTGTGCCTGACAATGCGTGAGTTCTATATTCAAAATATTCAAACAACTGAAATATGAAACCCTTGTTGTTATGAATAAATTAAATAATTATAAACGTTAAGCATGGTCGACTTTCAGTTACACTACACTAAAAGGCTGAGTGGCTCGATCTCACTGCACTCAGAGTAATTTTACCGCGTAGCTAAAAGGTTGAGTGACACGCTCTCACTGCACTCAGATTAATTTTACCAAGTAACTAAACTAACTAAATTACAGTGGGCCCAATGAATACATTTTTAAGGGACCCCGTGTCTTATAGATCTTTTTTTTTATAGAATGCAATCTTCTTAAAGTGGACGATTTTAATTTAGCATTTGAACCGTACTTAGTTATTTACAATTATCATCGATTTTTATCTTTATGTATATATATATATATATATTTTTATTTTTTTTTGTAGTGATAGCAAGAGGAACGAAACTAAGAACTCATTGAAATTCTTTAGCGTAAGAATAAGAAAACAAAGTTTAAGAAAAGGAGTGAAAATTTAACAGCATACAGATATGCATATATTTTACAATAGTAGACAAAGCGAAATACTCTGTATGTAAGTACGTAAGTTATATATCTTGTGTAGTTACAAACAGTATTTATTGTAAATAAAAGTACTCAAGTTAATAATAAGGTGGGGGGTTTTTTTCTTCTTTTTATAACTTACTTGAGAATTTGTGTCCTCCTCGGCTGGCCAGACGATGGGATGAATTCATGTCGCTGTGAAAAATTTCATGTTTTTTTTTTTAATATTAAGCATTCAAAGCAAAATTTTCACCACTTTGGTTCAGATATATATATACACATATATATATATATTATATTTGGTTTTCTTCTCTAACGTTACAAATTTTTTTTTGTTCTTGTTGCTTTCACTTTACATAACTTTTCAAGAATTTTTTTAGTGTGGATCCGAAAGACGTCTCTAAATTCAGATTCTTTGTCCGGAGGCAAAAATACTCCTGGCTACGATTCTCCAAAGTGGACACGTTCGATCCTCGTGTTTTCCACGTGGAAGTTTAAAGTCGGCCTGCTTAGAAAAATCTCGTTTAATGTCCAGACAGTTGATCTTCACGCCATCAGCTCCAAAATAAAAAAAAAAACCAAATTAAAACCCACGCTCTAGTTGAGCCCTTTGACGGTCTCTCAAAAATTTGGAGATAAGCCTATACTTGAACTCTTATACCACTGCATAACAGGCTGGCTCATATTAAAAAGAACTACTTCTCTGGGTGCTAGTTTTCAACCATAACAAAACCAAAAATTTTTAAAACACACGAAAAAGTCAATATATTCACAAAACTAGGAGACAAATATAGTATAATTGCGTTTTTATTTTTTCTCTCTGACGTCAGGATTTTTTTTAAAGGACTTTGAAATTTCTAGGATATGATTGAATAAAGAATTTCGTCCTTTTTAGATAAAAAAAAGTTTACACTCTTTATAAGATATTGATAGTTACAATAGACATAAATGAAGATACTGGAATCATTATTATGGAACCATGTATGCGCTACAATGCTCCGAATCTTTTGAATAACTTACTTATTTGGCCCCCAGTTTTGTGAATATATAGATTTTTTTCCTGTGTAAAATTGACTGTCGCACGGTGTTATCAAGCTTCCACCACGATAATCCCGTAACCGGTAAACCGATATTAAAATAATTTTACACAATCAAAATACATGTGGAAAGTTTGCCGAACACCGAGTTCTCGAGTACCAAGCTTGGTGTGAAGACCCCTAGAATTTCTTTATGTCAATTCGAAGTACAACCGTTCATAGAGGTGAAATCAAATACTGGAATTCTGCGGGGTCCTTTAACGATTTTATTCATTTTAGAAGTTTGAGATCAAAATGTCAACATTAAACGGTGGAAATGTTTTTCCAAAACGAACCAATCTAGAGTAANTTTGTGGGTCTTAAGAAGTTTGGATTTCATAACGGCCCAGTAGGTTTCGATCGGCCGATGCTCTGGACAATTAGGTGGATTCACCTCTTTTGCTACAAAATACACTTTGTTTCTATGTTACCATCCTAAAGCCATTTTTCCGTAATGACATATCGCGAGATCAGGCCAAAAAAGCACTGGATCTTTATGAAGCCGTATAAGAGGTAAAAGTCGCTTTTGCAGACACTCCTTAACATAAATTTCTTGGTTAATTGTACCAGTGCTTACAAAAGGATCACTTTTGAAGCCGCATTGGCAAATTGCCTGCCAAATGAGAAACTTTTTGGGAAATTTGTCAAACTTTTTGTTTTTATATTTGTCTGCAACATTATNTCACTTTTGAAGCCGCATTGGCAAATTGCCTGCCAAATGAGAAACTTTTTGGGAAATTTGTCAAACTTTTTGTTTTTATATTTATCTGCAACATTGCCTCTTTTATTTGCAGTGTGAAATTCGCGGCCGCGGATTTGTTTAAAATCGGCTTTTACGTACGATTCGTCATCCATAACAATACAGCCAAATTTTTGTATGAGACTGTCGTACAATTTCCGAGCACGTTGTTTCGCCAACAAGTTTTGCTTACCGTTGCGATTAGGTGCTGCATTCACTTTGTAAGAATGTNGCACGAACAAATCAATTTTAAGCGCTTAGATAAGTACTTAAACATTGGTAAATATGCTCGCAAAACAACAAAAATTAAGTACTGTTTAATGTTTTGTTATACCCGAGCGCACTTGTGCACAAGGGTATTATAACTTTGTTCACATAACGGTTGTTTGCAGAAGGCAAAACGAATCGAAATAGATATTGACAAATGTATACATAAATGATCAGAATGAAAAGAGAAATCGATTAACCGGTGACTGACTGTCCGTCCGTCTGTGCACACGGCAACTGGTGTAAAAATTGAAACATCTTAACGAAACTCGGTACGTGCACTTCTTTTGGGCGTAGGACGGACGGTATTGAAAATAGGCAAAATCGGACAATAACCACGCCTACCTCCCATATAACGGTGATTTTCAGAAATACGAAAACTGCGATATTTGAGTAACTACTGAAGATTATTCACTCAAAATTGATATTTACAATAACTTTTAGACGAATAATAAGAATATTACAAATTTTTGGAAAATGGGCGTAGCCACGCCCACTTATGGTTACATGTGTATATATTGGTAACCGCTGGACCAATTTCTCCCAAACTTAGCACAGTTGTTGGCCTTGGTACAACATATTAAATAAACAAAATCGGACAATAACCACGCCCACATCCCATATAACGGTAATTTAGAGAAATGCGAAATCTTCGATAAATCAGTAAATATTAAAGCTATTTTATTAAAAATTGATGCTTGCACAATTCCTTACCAAGAAATACGTATAAGATGAAATTTTGGAAAATGGGCGTGGCACCGCCCACTTATGATCACATATATGTATTTCGGTAACCGTTCTACCAATTTGTACCAAACTCGGTATGGTTGTTGTGCTTGCCACATAAAAGCAAAACGATGAAAATTATTGAAATCGCACTAAAACTACGGCCGCTTTTCATATAATGGTAAATTTCATAAATGCTTGAAACTTCAATATATCGAAATTTAAGGACGCTAATTTACTTAAAATTGATACACCCCGACTTATCATGTAGCGGTAGCTTTCTGAAAGGTGAAAAACATATACTTAATACTTGCGCCGGGTATTCAATGTTCGGCTCCGCCCGAACTTAGACTTTCTTACTTGTTTGTAACATAACTTACAAATGCGTTAGCTTCGCATTGTTTAAATAAGATCCTTTTAATAAATATTCCTATCAAATCACTCACTTACGAACTATGTATCCTCAATAGTGACTCGTCCCACCCGTCACAAAATATTGGTTCTAGCAAAATATTTCCCTTTTATTTCATCATATTTTGATTAAAAGAAAAATACTGACAAAAATGAAATATTTCATACCAACAAAAAAAATATACATATATATTCGCTAATCGCATTTGCCTGAAAATTTTCGAATGCACTTAGTGTAGGGCTGCCATAAGTCCAAACCCATCGACCAGGACACTTATCATTCAAATCAAAGATAAATATAAGTAAATATGGTGCCAATATACATATTCTTTAGAAGTACAGTTGCTTTGATTCTGGCGTTGCATTATTTTGAATAATTTCTGATATTATAAGCAATGTAGTTTTTTGGCACAATCTGTAGTAGGGATGGGTAAATTTGACATTCGAAGCTTCGATATTCGAGTTTTAATAAGGGACCGAAAGCGCGCTCCGGGTTTGATTTAGTTCTGCACGAGAAAAAAAATGTAATGAAGAACGTTCCCGAAAAAGAAAAAACAGAAACAGAAGTATTGAGAGCAGTTTGAGCGGGAACACAGTGATAACCAGTGTTGCCGCGCCGTCTCAAGAAAATGTATCCCTGACCAAGCCAAAAATGTATCCAAATGTATCCAATTTTTTTTTGTTACATATACATCTCATAGCTTGTAAGAAAACCAAACATTTTCATGAAAAAGGCATAATTTAACCCATGCTAAGGACTTGGAATACATGTGAATAAAATCAAACATTTGTAATTTCAATTTATAAAGTACATTTTTTGTGCATAAGTATTTTGCAAAGTAAATATAATAAATAGCAAGTACACTCTAAAAAGAGGATGTAAAACTACTACTGAAAAGTATCTATTTTTCAACAAGTATCTGTATAAATATACGTATAGGATGTTCAGTATTTGATTTTGAACTTGAGACCTTTAAAATATACACATAAATACACATATGTAGAATGTTTAAAATTTCAAAATTTTTCAAACTACAAATACATTTCCTACTAATAATAAACATTACTTTATTTTAAACATTTTATGTGTAAAAGTAAACAGGCAATGATTAATTTTATTACACGGCGTGCAAATTCGCATACATTAAAAGAGGAAACTGGTTACCCCTCTCAATATGCGCAAATAAACAAAATTTTTTTAGAGTGTATAGAGAGAGTGTGTAAAGTCTTTTCAGTAAAATTCATAAAAGTTTCCTTAAATAAATCAAATTTAGTTTTTTAAACTACATTGAAATCTTCTTTCTTTTTAAATTAACAAATGAAAATATGTGATATGAAAGAGATTACTACAGAAAGAGTATAATTTACTTTACATAACTATATCGTCGTTTAAAGTACAAAACCGCGTATCGTCATTCTGCAAAACCGCGTAACTGACATTTGCTACCAAAAATTGGATTTGCTCACACAAGCTCTTGGCTCAATCCTTATCCATTCATCCTGAAATATACTAGCCAGAAATGCGATTGCTTTTTAAAAAAGAGAACCATTTTGAAATATAAGTGTTTTTGCTCTCTAGAAAATAATTTATGCAACGTCACATACGCGGTTTTGTACTTTAAACGACGATATGTATATTAAGATCTTGCTTAAAGCATCCTTTTATGCTAATTAAAGCAATTGCGCTTAAACCTATTTTGGTGAGATCTCTTCATATGTTCATTGCTTCGTTCACAAAAAAGAAAATGCTTTAATTTTACGCTTAAGTAGCGATTCTTTATACGTTTACAAAACGTAATGCTTTCTACCATCTTTAATGAAAATCGATTTTTGACGAAAAAAACTTTATAGGAAATATAAAATTTTGGCCTATTTAAAAAAGTATCCACATTTATACTGACCGGAAAAAATAAGTATCCCGCAAAAGTTCGTCTAAAAATGTATCTATTTAGATCCAAACGGCCTCCCTGGTGATAACAGCGAGCGGGAACGTTTCCAGAAAAAACAAAATGAGAACAAAACTCTCAATAACGTTCCCAAGAAAAACAAAATGAGAACGAAACTTTCGGGAACGTTTCCAAAGAGAACGAAAAAATAACGAAAGTATCGAGAACGTTTTCAAGGAAGATTAAATAAGAATAAAAGTGTGAGGAACGTTCTGCTAGAGGACAAAACGGGAACAAGACACCCCTTTGCGAGTGCCGACTTGTAGTAGGTAAAAAATAAGGGGAGAGTCTTGAAAGCTTAACATCAAGAATGAGAGGGGCGTCAGCGTGCTGGGTTGAAAAACCATTTCAGTGAGAACTATGATTTTTAATTCTAAGCCTGAGGAAAGTTGGATCATTTCAACTTCCAGATCGTTTATTATTAGGGTGAACTGCGCAATAATTGAACAATTTTTAGTTTTCTGTACAAGAAAGGTTCGTGTCTTAACTTAACTTTGTTGACTTTCAGCTCTCTTTTGATTCATTTTAATATTCAAACATTCCAAACTACTGCAAGGCTATGAGAAAAATTCTGTTCTCATTTCCATTCTTCGCGAATAGTCTAGAGAAGAATTGTTTCCGTTGCGTTCTATGACAGAACGTCCCTGAGACTTCAGTTCCCAAATTTTTCTTCGAGAGAAAGTTCTTCGTCGGAATATTCCGGTGACCTTTGCTCCAATTTTGTGCTCTTAGAAATGTTTCCGAAAGTATTTTCCACATTTTGTTCTCTTTGAGAACGTTCCACAGAGTTTGTTCTTATATAATTCCTGTTGAGAACAATTACGACAGTTTTGTTCTCACTTTCATTCTTTTGAAAGCACTCCCGAAGGTTTTGTTCCCATTTCGGTTTGGGTTTTTAAGCGTCCTTGGGAACAAAACGACATTTAGTTTCGATATTTTGTGGTGGTGTGGTGCGGTGATAAAGTTCGGATGAAACTGAATTTGGTCTTTATTTGCAAAAACGGAGCCCTGCAACCTTCTTCTTTCTGAGTGTGGCACCACATTTGCCTTAGAGATGGGTGTAAAAAAATGCATCGATGTTTTTTCTATCTGATGTATTAAATATAAAAATCGATATTTTCGATGTATCGGATGAATTAAAAATATGCAAAAAAATAGAGCAGTCGGAACTTCGACAAACGTTTAAGTATTAATATACAAATAAATTCATACGAAATAAATAAGATTTCAGATGCTGTATAATCCAAAAACTTTATCAATGCTTGGTTTTCATTATGTCAAAATTACTGACACCAAAAATTGCTTCAACTAATTGTTCATTTGGTGTCAAATGCGCTTTCACTACATCATAAAAACTAATTAATAGATTAATAATAACAGAAAGCTTAATCGTTTTTCATAGCAAAAATCTGTCAAATATGAAATGGGTGTCTGCATTGACCTTCATTAAAAAACCTGGAAAATTTAAGCATGGACCAGGATACCAGGACAATTTGTCAAAACCAGGACAAATCCTGGAAAACCAGGACGTCTGGCAGCACTAACTAAGTGAAATTGTGTTGGTATTGAATAAAGAAAACTTTGCAAAGAAATAAAAAGGGTGAGAAAATACCTTTCCACTGATACCTCATAAGTCTATATCGGTAAAGTTTTGGAGCAGTTATTCAAGTTTTTCTTACACAAATCTTTGAAAAAAGTTAAAAAACAGCATCAAAAGTCTCATTTTTATGATTCCGTTGATACAATTCTTTAATATTTTTATGTAGATTTTTTAAGCTTAAACTGTTTTGTCATCTGAGAGTATTTTTTTTCCAAAAAATCCTTT